GGAACAACCTTTTCCTGGGGAAGCCGAGCTGGGTGATCGAGATCTGCGCCGTCGTTCCGGCTCTCGTTAGCCTCCTTGCTAAAACACGACCCCATGACGGCGCGCGGGAGCGGACCGCAAGCGGGCGGAGGTGGGCGCGTTAGAGTAGATCCGAATGAGGAACAAAGAACGTCCAGCTTCAGTCAGTAGGCAGAGGAATCTTGATGCGCAGTTCAGAGAGACAGGACCATGGGGATTCCACGTGCATTATGTACAAAACTCTTGCGTCCAATCCAAGGTGTTTTCAGCTGCGGCTGAGATGCGAGGTTTCGGCACCACGTAGGTCCTCCTTGGGCTTAGCGTGTGGTCCTGCGGGTTGATCCAGAGCATTTCGTTGAGCACATTGCTCCACGTGAGCTTGTGGTAGTCAAGTTTATTACAGGGTTTCGATGGGGACAGGTTCGGCTGCCGAACGTAATACAAGATGGAATCACAAAATCTTCTCTCCATAAGAGACGTCTTCTTGAGCTGATTCATATGGGACAAGAAAGAGGTGCTGTGGAGAGGGTGATGCCTTTCTGATATACGTCTTGTCAGAGAGAATACGGTTTATAGAGGAAGCTCTTGAAGAGTGTGTCTAGTGTCCATGTCGTACATCCATCCCTCAGATACGCCAGAACCCCAATCTCTTGAGATTTGACAGAACATTGTTGCTACTCATCAAGGCGCTGTAAAGATACTGCACTCGAATTGCGCCGCCGGCTGAAAGGAGGGTGCGATTTGCTTGACAACTAGCAACAAGTATCAATGTTGAAGCGGAATAGAACTCGCATGCATGCAATATAGAATCATTTGAAGAATGCCGCGCCCAATGCCATTACCCGCTTCTGGACCCCGTGAGTCACCCGCGCCTTGGTGTCCCTGATGTTGTGTCTCAGAGCCATGTTCCATGTACGCTTCTCCGCCATCACCGCCAGAATCTTCCTTCCAAGCTCCTTCAATATCTGCTCCTCAGTCGCAGATAGTGTCCCGCCGATAGTCCTCTCGCAATATCGACCTGGCTCCATAAGTTCAGCATCCATGAACGTGAGCCTGATCTGCTGAGTTGCGGGCCGAGAGAAATTGTCCGTGACCCAGTTTCGCTTGCTGATCTTGCGCCTCTTCGTCCAGTGGATGACGGCATGGATATCAGCACCCGCGTTGACCAGTGCAAGAAGAACCTCTCCGATCTCTTTGCGCTCGAGGAAGGAAGTCGTGGCGGAGCGCCGCGTCACATCGAGCGCAACCTGCCAGGCCGTCTGGCCATCAAAGACCTCGTGAGGGTCAGCCCCGTGGTCGAGAAGGAATTTGACTACCCTGGCGGGGCGTCTGCCTCGCAAGAGCCACCAGGTTGGATCGGTGCCGCAGGCAATGTGCAGTAGTGGCCTCCCAGGCACCTGCAACACTGCTGGCCCCAGACGTCGCAGCTTGGATTGCAGGTAGAAGAACAGGTCTTGTTGGACAGTAAACGAAAGAAAAGTTAAGACCTGGACATCCGTCTCATTGACTCTCATTCCAGTGTAGTGGCGGTCAACCGGGAAGTGATTAGTCCAGTACGCAGAGTCCATGACTGGCAGGGGGACAAGGAACCCGTCTGGCTGCCAGTGTTGGTTTACTGCTTGATCCATGGCATCCAAGAGAGATTCGGTCTGATCAGGGTTCCTCTCTTCGGTGTCCCGAGCCAGCCGCATGGAGTACTCGACGAGTTGCCAGAATGCCGAGTTGAGCATCCAGGATTCTGCCCAAGAGACGATTGCTGGATCCTCCGCGGAGATGGTCCTGATGAAGCTGACTATACACTTCAGCAAGTTCGTCTGGATGTCTCCATGGGTACCCTGGAGCGAGTCTTCAAAGATTTTGGCCGTATCTGCCGTCTCGAGATATATGGACACATCTTTGTGCAAATAATGAAGCTCCATGACCTTGACAGATGGCTGGTCGCCTGGCAAGGAATCGCCTTCAAACTCCCTGAATTCCAGCAAGCCAGCACAGGATTGTCGGACCATGTTGATGGCCATCTCGGTTCTTGAAGCAGCTTGGGCTACTGTAAGTGGCTTCACGGGAATTTCGAGTGTCGTTTGCAAGTCATCCTCGAAAAAGGAGCACAAGATTGCGGTGATGGGGTGTCTGATCCTATCCCCTTCCACCCACGGAATGAGCTTCGAAGGCAGAGTATACCCATACTTCAGGGTCTGAATGAGTTGAAGGCCGAGTTTCCTGTGTTTGTCCGGAATTCTGTTTCGCAACATGTGATCAAAGATAGCGCCAAGCTCCTTGTTGCCTCCAGGAATGTCGCTGGTCACCCTCAGCAGCCGCGAGATATCCATCGCCAACTCAATCTCCTCCACCAGGGTTGCCACGGTGAGATTCACCCAGAGGAATATGCCTTCAGATCTCTCTACAACAAGATCTACCAGCTCCCGCTGCTGCTCCTTGGTCGTTATGTTGTGGAGTCGTGGTACGGCCGTGAGCTTGTCGTGTACGTAGGTTCGGCGATCTTCCTCGGTGAGTTCGTGCAAACGGAGCTTTGTGGAATCCCTGAAAGCCGTTTCAAAGGCAGCTTCTGGTCTGCTGGAGACGATGACTTTCATGTTCGGCGATTCGCTGGCCCGGCGCAGCATGGCAGCGGCCTCGACTTGCTTGCTGTGTGGTGCCTCATACTCATCCAACCCATCGATGATGAGCCCCACGGCGACAGGCAGTTCGCTCGCCGTCGAGAATCTCTCGAACCCCTGCGCCATGTCAATAAAGGTCGGGAAATCCGTGTCCCACCGTCTTCCCTTGACCAAATGATCAGGGAAGAACACGTCGGCAAGACTGGGGTGTTGTTCGATGAGGGTGAACAAGATCGCACGATAGAGACCTATCAGCGACTTCAGGCGACCGTCGCCGGCAGCTTCGGAATTCCAAAAGTAGAAAGACGCGAGGCCGAGAGGGCGATCGCCCGCCCACGTCTGAAATGCCTCTCTCGTCCGCTCATCGTCGTTGAGGAAGCGCATGAGCGAACTCTTGCCCGTGCCGGCACGCCCGCTGACCCAGTACGGACCGCTGCCCCCGGTCATCCACTCCATGAGCGTAGTGTTTGACTGGTGAGTCTTCTTCTGCCCGGTGAAGATCCACTCAAACGTCTTCTCATGCGCCGTGGCAATGGCATCGTGGCGCCGCGGTATCGAGCCGTACCACAACCTGTTCTTCAGCTCCGTGAGCATATCCATCTTCCAGACGAGGTCGTCGTCCTGAGGAACAGCGGGACGGGCGTGGGAGCTGAGCGGATCCCACCTGCGAAGCTCGGCCATGATTTCCTGATGTCTCTGCGCCTCCGCAAGGGCGAGGGAATCCACCTTCGTCAGGACAGCCTCGAGGCCCTGCAGTTGACCCAGGGTGAGCGCCTTGACATCGTCGTCGAGGCTCCGAAAGGCCGCCTTGCTCTGCAGGTCCTCGACGCTGACCTTGCGCAGCATCGACACGAGGAGCTCCGACTGGAGCTCGTTCCGCAGCGCGACGAGCCGTCGCATCTGCGCATCGGCGTCCATGCGCATCCCGCGCCAGAGCACGGCAATGACATCTCGGTACCGCCTCCAGCCTCCCGCGCCCGGCTGAAGCGCACACCTGGCGAGCCGCGTCGAGAGCTCATCTCCAAACTCATGAATCTCGGCGGCGATGGTCCTGATCCTGGCCTTGACGCAATACCGGTCAGTCACGGCAGGTGCGGACTGGGCCGCGTGGCAAGTGTCTGCGTCGCACGGGGGAGGGGGAGGGGGCGTACCGCTTCGTCGAGCTCGGCTTCCGAGTCCTGCAGCAATTTGACTCTGTCGCAGTGGCTTTTGAGGCTTTCGGCCTGCCGCGTACAGTCGGCCGTGGAGATGCTCGAGCCGCTCTTCCGAATCTCGGCCGAGTCGGTCCAGAGCTGCAGCGCAAAGGCGATGGTGCTGAGAATGCTCGTCGCGAGGGCGAACTCTGCCATTTCCTCGGTGAAGGGGTTTCCGCTTCTCGGAAGGGGGGGGAGGGAGGCTTTGCTCTAGATGAATGACGATGACGCCGGCCGCGGACGGGAGCCGTGAGAGCGACGCGATGGCCTCGCTACGTTTGCCGGCGCAGCAGATGGCGAGTTTGCCGGTCGCTTACCTGGTGCCTTTCGCGTGGGTCAGCCACAGCTGAAGGCTGCATATGCAGGCTACGGCGACACGTCGAGTGAGTGGTTCGAGGGTCGTGGAGGAAGACCAGGCATCAGGTAGATCACCTAGACTGGCAACGACTTGATGACTGCCGAAATGCTGAGATGAATAGTATTTAGCGTCGCATCGCCTTGAGGATAAAGCACCGACATCACTTGTGGAGGCATGCTTCAATGTTTATATGACTTTTTTTTGGTCCCATCTCGACAGGGTTTCTCTTCCTCACTCTCCTCGATGGATAGGCGTGCCAAAAAGGCTCCCGAAATATTGTGAGCCAGATTGCGTTGGCATGATTCGTCTTGATCCCTCGCATAGCACGTCCCTTTCGTATGTTCCTTCTCGACCTCATCGTATGTTCCTTCTCGACCTCATCGTATGTTCCTTCTCGACCTCATCGTATGTTCCTTCTCGACCTCATCTCCTGGCCGTGTAGAAATGAAAAGAAATCCCCTCCTCTTCGGGTATCAAAAATATCGTGACGAGGTGGAATAATATCCAGACAGCGGAGGAGGGACGTTGTCGTGTCGTCAACCCTGAACAATAAAATCCCAATCCCAAAATAGACGCCAGAGAGCGCCCTAGGTGTGCCCGTCGTGGCCCTGCACCAAATCCGACCATCCGTGCAACCAGACTCTAATAAGTGTGTGGGGTATATCCCTGGTCGTACATCATGCTCGTCATAAAATCAAACGCTTGCTCATCAGAATCCAATGTGCTCCAGTCCCGCCAGAGGCTATGATCGGTACTCAGGGATGGCCTCGTCGCAGTTGTCCCAGTCCATGAAGGCGTTCCAGTCGTCTCCGAGTCCAGCGCTCGGCGTACCGACAGTGCTCCGCTGCGTGTCAAAGCTTGGGTAGCCAGGGTTCTGCGGCGTCGCCCCGTAGTACTCCTGCGTAGACATCATGGGCTTGGCGGTCTGTGTCCGCTGCTCCGGCTTCGTGAAGACCGGGTCCTCGGGATAGAAGGATGCAGCGGAGTCTCCAGCCATGAACAGGTGAGCCAAGGGGTCGCTCATATCCAAGCTCGGGCCAGCCAGCATCTTGGCGTCAAGCGGAAGCTCAGAGGTGAAGATCGAGTCGTCATACAGCAGTGGATCAGTGGGACCCATTTGCTGCACGTAAGGGTTCATGTGCGGTTGTGCGGGAGACATGTGGTCAGCGGCTCCTGGCGACATGACAGGAGAGCGAACCTGTTCATGCTTGAGGTCACGAGGTGACATGGGCGACGGCGTGGGCGCATGGTACGGGCTGGGCGCGTGGTAATCGACAGCACCAAAGCTGGGCGATATGCTGGCAGCGGGGCTCATGGGGCTCAGAGGCTGATGGGCGCTCTGCCCAGTGAGGGGGCCATAGTAGGCAGAGTCGTTGGGGTTTGAGAGCCTGTGGTTCATGACCTGCGCCTGCTTGCCTACGTCAGGGAAAGACTCGGCGAACATCTTGTTGATGGGGTTCTGCAGCCAGTCTTCGTTTCGGAGTCCGGCCACCATGCTGGCCATGGCAACACGATTGGCCAGAAAGGCGTTGACGCGGTAGTTCATCTCGGACGAACCGGTTTGCAAGTGCGCGGCGAGCATGCGGTAGGACCGGGGCATGTCGTCTTCCTCCTCCTCGTACATCTCTTCGGCTTGAACGATGCGCTCCGTGATCTTGAAGCCTTTGCCGGTTCGCTTCTTGTGGATCTCGCTGGCCATCTGTGCCGACTTGACTCTCGCTTCGAGACTGCGATCGGCTCGCCTCGAGGCAGCGATGTAGGCACGCTCCTGGTTCTCTTCGTGGGATCGCTCCGTCTACTGTGGTGTCAGTAGCTGATTGGAAATGGCCAAGATGACGGTGGCATTGGGTGGAGCGCGGCAAGCAGGTGGGGAGAGATGACAGTACATCAGACATGGGGGGGGGGGCTTCTGTACCTTTCGCTGTGAAGACTTCTCGGGCGGAGGCATCGTTGCAGGTGTGCTGCTAGCGTCGAGAGAGCGCTTAGGCATCGTGAGCGGTAGTCTGTGACGCGATGCGCAGACTGTTGGGGTCTATGGCTTTTCTTGTAAGAGCAATCGATCTCGTCGGATCGAGTGTGGCTCGGAACAGCAATGGCACGCCGAGAATGGTCCGTGAGGGCGGGATTATGATTTGTTGATTTTTGCTGTATTGAGCACTCTGTGAATTAACTAAGATACTTTGTTTGTATTTCGTTTGTTGATCGTGGGCTGGTACCCAGAATGTTGGTGGTGGTGTGGTGAGGTGGCGGAAGTGGCAGAAGAAGAAGGTTGAGGAGAGCAGCCGCGTAGGCAACGTAGCATGGCCTGGGCCCTGTGTTGGTATAAATGGGGGAGACAGCGAGGGCGAGGGCAAGTGGGTGCTTTTTCTTTTGCAGGGGGATACAGACGACGGGATTACGGCCGTTCGCAAGACAGAAGGGGAAAGTCGAACTCGCCAACGTTTTCGATGCTGGCGGGGGGCGATCTTGTAGAGTTCAGTGTGCATCGACGTTCCTTGGGACGATCGATCTCGATCAGACCCGTGAGGTGGGTAAGCGCGCGCCGAGCAAGTACTGGGATGTTTCGCTAGCGTGTCTTGCCCGGGGCAGCCTCTCCGCCACAGCACCTTTCCAGGCCAGGCTTTTCAGGTGCGGTCGTGGGCTAGGGACTTGGGCGCACATCGGGTCCACAGCAGGTGGAGGTGCCTTTAGTACCTAGATACCTACCTAGGGTACCTAGCTAAGGTAATAAGGTGAGGGAAGACAGAACCAGACCCCTATCGAGCATAGTACTAAGGGTCCTGCACCCCCCCCCTTCCCCCTCCAGAGTTCGAAAGGCCCTCAAGGCCCTGCCCTGCCCTGCCCCCCCCCTCCCCCAATTGCCCTAGAGCGCCCCCGCCCTGCCGTCCGTTTCTTCTGTGGCCCTCCTCAGTTTGGACTGGAGTGGTGGTATGGGCCCGCCAGCCGAACCCGAACGGTAGATGGAAAGCTTCACCCAGTTCCATGATTCCCCGCTTCCGGCCGCGGCACCTACCTCACCTATCCACAGGACCTAAGGCAACTACCACACCACCACAGGGCAGCAGCTGCGGACCACCTGGGCAGGGGCGCAGTATGCCGAATCCTGCCCCACTGCTTGCCATTGGCCGTCCCTGCCGTCTGAAGGAAGAGAAGCAGGCAGACCTCACTCGGACTCGGATAACCCCCCTCCCCCTCCTCAATCCCATGTTGCCTCGCTAGGTAGTCTCCAGTCTTCAGTACACTTCCACCCAGTCGATAACCCACGCATCGCCTTGACAGATAGACACCTGCACCTGGCCGGAATACAGATGGCGTGAAAAGGGACTGCAACCAACTCGATGTTTTGACTTTTGACTACCAGGTCCAGATCCTTCGTTGCCGTCTCCTGACCTGGAAGCAACGTACCGTACATGTTTTACCTTCACCTTGCTTGTGGCCGGAGGGTGTATCAAAGCTCAGGGCCCAAGTCATTATCAAGTCGAGACCGAACGCTCGGCGTCCCTGTGGCCCCTCACCCGACCCTCAGCACGAACACCTGCAGTTCGACATGGATGGCATATTGATGTTCATCTCTGAGGGCTGCGCACTCGTGTGCGAGTAGCTGCCAGCACGGTTGGCTGTTCAGCCTAGGCCCGTCAACTTTCAATGACTCCATTGGCATGGTTTCTACCTTCTACGCACCCAAAACGTGCTTGGCCAACAAACGTCACGTCGGACATTCTGACGTTCATCGGAACGTACCCACCCCCGCCTGCGTTTTCCAAGGGAACGGCACCACAAGGTGGGAACGTACGGCAGAAATGCTGATAACGAAGAGAAGACCCCCCCCAGTCTGGCACATCGTGGCACATGCTGGCCCGTCTCGCCACCACCCTGGCAAGCTTGCCGTCCGTTCCAACCACCTGGGCAAGCGTCCGCCAGGAAGCACACAACCACCAGCCGGACAGTTTTCGCCGTTCATCGCTCGACCTCATTCGTCCCCTGCTCAGCGACCGAGCCCCTCGCGAGCCAATCACAGAGTATCCACCCGTCACTCGATCCAACTCAATCAACCCGTTCGGGACTACGAGACCCCGCTCGAGCGCCCTGGGAGCACAGGAGCGCAGGATCACAGGAGCGCAGGACCACAGGAGCGCAGGACCACAGGGGCATACGGGCCCAAACACACAAGTCCATTCGGCCTGGTTTCCTGGTCCGCATGCCGATGGATTTGTGGGCCCAATGGCAGCCGCCGGTGATATGCAGCCTGATGGGTGTGTTATCACCGCTGAGTTGCCGCGCGCAACACTCCGCCTGGCAATCCTGGGACGTTGCACTGGGACAGCAGCACTGGCTGGCTCAGCTGGCTGGGCTCGCTGCGAGAATCGAGCAGCTGCACGCTTTTTACTCGCCATCTCGTGCGATCCCGCCCATGGTCTTCACAAATGAGTGTGAGCGACAGGTCCCCTTGGCGATGAAATGAAGCCAAGGATCTTACCCACGTTGAGAATGCCTAATACGGAACAGGAACAGGAACAGATGCAGTCGTCGTAACCCCGTAAGAAAGAAAATCGCGTGGCCCCGCCGCCCACGATGGCGAGCCAGGGTTGGTGGGGGTCGGCAGAGAGCATCCATCGGTAAAGTAGCTGCTATCGTTGCGATTCACAGGGATCCCGCGCCCCCCGTCCCATCGGCCGTCCAAAAGAAACCTCTAGAATGACTGGAGCACGACATGGGTCCAGCATGGGTCAGAGGACAAGAGGGCAGAGGGGTCTCTTTTCTCTCGAGCTATCACAACAAGGCACGTTGCTGTGAATTCAATGCGTGGCAGTGCCAGCAGATGATGAATTGGAGCGAACGACCTGGCAGGCAAAGCCTCGTTGGATTGCGTTTCCCCAAGGCGGGCACTCCCATCTCCCTTGCGCAAAGACGTCACAAACCCAGAGCGCACAGTCGTGCCCCAAGCTCCCTTGACTTGACGTCACATTAGCGTTAGCACGCCCGGCACACAATGAAAGTACGCCATCATAACGAAATCAATGGGTAGCCGTGTGAGGAAACGGCACTCGGAAAACTGAGGACTCTGCTAGGGGAACTGCGATCTTTGAAAGCAGAGTACGTGAAAAAGCAAGTAGTTGGCCAGGGCGGAGGAGAAGCCCCGGGCAAAGCCTGGTGTTTTGGTCGGTTTGTTGGTGTGTGCACACATGCGTGCACAACACATGCACGCATGGTGAACTGAACCCGGCCTAGGCACAGGCTACCCAGCATGGCCAAAAGTTGGTCGCTGTTCCAACGAGACCGGGCAGTTTGCGTTCAGCCGCTCGACCAGTCAAGACGATGTGACGGGTCGAAAAGATGGCGACAGCTTGGTTAGGTTTGCTGGCCTCCGGGTCGCTCAGCCCAGTGAGGTCAACGTTCTGAGGTGCTACAGTACCAATCCGCAGCATTACCAAGCAAAGCCACGCACGCACACCTGAGGCCTCTGCTAGTGCTCTCGCTGTACCCATTCACATAATGGTGAGAAACTACGGGTAATGGGGGGTGTGGAGTCCCCATAGTGTGTTATGGTGTGTGGCAACAAGACTGTCAGATCAGTCTATCCAACTCAAATCTCCATGGCTGCTCGTTGATGGCATTTTATCGATTCCCCGTGCCTCATAACGTGCGGCCAACGTCACAAATCCACATAGGATGGACATCAGCCTGAACGCCGATCTCTTGCTTTGGAAGCTTCATCGGACGGACCACATCTTCCCGGAAAGTCGGCGCAGATCTCAGATGTCTCGATGCAAGCATCGATGAGGATCTCTTAACTCTTGGGCTCCAAGGGGGAGACGCGTTGTCTGTAGTCGGCCTTCCTGATGATCCCTCGACGCTCACTTCCGGACAGGATGCTTGGTTACGAGGGACGTGATGGGCAGTTTCCGTCGGAGTTGGCGTCTTGACCCAAACAACAGCATACAGAGCTCACCACACTCGCAAGCACATCCCCATTGGCAATCTGTCCACCCCAGATCGTTCATCTATCTGCATCTTACTCCTGTGGGTCGCCTAGGTGATCTGGCCGCCGTGTTCAGGTTACCGCTGCCTTTCAAGCCGTGCTGCGAAGGCTGTGACATGACATGTCACTCAGTCTTCTGTCATTTCGTGTCGCTGCACGAGATCGGGCCCTGCCAGCCGTCCTTGGCCAACTACCACACCGTCTTCCCTCCACGATTACACCGCATGCACGCATACGGAGCAGGTCTCCGGTCCCTTTGATTTGCAAGGTCGGAATTTCGCCAGACCAATCGGTTCCGGCACCCCCTTCAATAGCAGAATGATGCGGCCCCGGTGTTATTATTCAGGCAATGGGGGATGCTACCCCCATCCAGACCACGCAAAGATTGGCATCAAAGGATGATTACCACCCCTGGTACTCATCGGAGCGTCACTGGCGGTTGCGATCTGGCCCCTTCGATGTGTGTCTTACCTCCGCATGATGCCTGGCATGAATGGACTTGGTGTCTTATGTTCAACACTCCCACTCGCGGGCCTTGGAAACTCGTCACACAAGCGGAGGCAGGGACGCCTAACATTCCGAGGCTGTTCGACGGCTGCAAAGCGCCCTTCAGGCAGTAACTCATTACTTCGAGCCCGTGAGGCAACCGCGGCGACGAGGAATGCCGTGGCTCGTTGGATCGCACGTCTCGGGTGGCGCACCATAACCGCGAAGAAGAACTCGTAGTTCTCTGCCTACATGACCTGGCGCTACGATACTACCGGCACGGCCTGCTGATGAACCCGCTCCCCCCCCGCGCACAGACTTTTGTCGAGACTTTTGTCGAAATGCACTCTCCTGCCGACCCGACCAGGGGTGCAACCGCCTCTCAAGCAGAGTAGTGGGTTTTGGTCGGCCGTGTAAGAAGGCCTTTGCTGCTCCAGATCGAGCAACACCAGGTTCCCCGCCTCGAGAAAGCATCAAGAGAGCACATGTCAAGAGGGAAAGCTCCGCAGTCAATATAGCGGTGTGGTCGACATGCGGAGTCATGGATCAGCGTGAAAGAGCTTCGTCCTGTTGGCTGTATGTACGGGATTGCAGTCCATGTTGAGCTCTTGCATACGGGCACTGAATAGCACTGATATTTGAACGTGTTTACGACCAGGCATCTCAAATGGGAGGGAATCTTCTACAGTGAAGCTCGAGTCGAAGGGCAGCAGCTGCATAGATATTTGTAACAGTCTTACTTGAGAAAAAGTGACAGGTGCTGGACGTGATGTTCTCAGTGTGGTTGAGATTGCGGCATGATGGGACACGCTGCCTTCACTGCGTAGTTTCGATGCCTACTCTCATAGCCAGGTAGACAACAGACAAACTAAAAACCTTGTCGTCTACCCGAAACACATGAGAAGGCAACCGAGCGAAGAAATCAGCCAACAGACTTGCACTACAGATGAAAGTTGAACGTGTTCATTCTCGGGTATCAAACATCATCTACAGTCGAACGGTGCGCATCCCCTCAGGCAGCCTCCTCGGCCACCTCGACAGAGTTGGCCCCCGTCGTGGCCTCGGTACTACCACCACCACCACCGCCGGCGCCCCGGGCCCTCGCCTTTTCGCGGTTCTTCTCGCGCATCTTCTCCCACGGTTTGAGCTTGACCTCGCCCTCGGCGCCGCCGGCGCCGGCGCTGCCGCCCCTCGACCTCCTTGTCCCACCGCACCCAAGTCGGCGGGGCGCGGCTTCCCCATGTCGCCC